AAAAAAACCCGACCCCCCCCCCCCCCCTCCATTCCTCACGTGCATGGAACATACGAGGGCCAAGACGCTTATATGAAAAGGGCGAGCTTGATTAAAGCATAGGGTTCGTGTATTTATTGAATATTTTTCAGGGCTCCTGCTTGCTCGCTTTCCTCTCAACAGGCATTGAAAGACATGACCAGAAAAGAAAGCAGAGAGTTGACATCAATCAGACGAAAGTTTTTAGGGTTGTGGTCCACATGATCTAGTTTGAGAGAAAAAGAAATGGCTCCTAATGTGGGGTCCAGAACCCCGGCCCCACTTCGAAAAATAAAATAATATTTATATATTATTTTGTGATTTATGTGGTGAGCTAGCTGTGAAGCGTGGACAGAACTCACTCACTCCAAGAAGGTATCAAGTTTGACTTTCATCACATTGTTTTGTAGTGTGTGCATTAACATATTAGACTTTTACCATTTGACACTCCTAAGTTCTATTTTTCTTAATTTCTAATTACCTTCGGTAGATCTTAAGAGATGAATCTAGTTTTATACAACGTGTGTGTAGTTATGATTATTTTTTAAAATATATTTTATTTAAAAAATTTATTAATAATATTTTTTTATTTTTAAAAAATTATTTTTAAAATTAATATATCAAAATAATTTGAAAATATTAAAAATATAATAATTAAAAATAAAAAAAATTAAATTTATTCACAAATGCTTTTCAAACATAGTCTCAAATACACTCTATGTGTCATCTCATTTTTACATTAATAAGCTTGGTCTTGGGTAAAAGAAAGTTAAGTGGGATGTGAAAACATTTTTTAATTTAATATATATTAAAACTATAGTTTTTATATACAAAAAAGGCATGTCTTAATGATCTCTAAGCGACTAAATAACACTAATCCATGTGTCTATTCTTGCTAATTCTATAAGTATTTTATTAAAAGAAAGGGTGAGCAAAGAGGCAAAAACAAGATCCCAGTAAAAGAAAATAAACAGAAAGTCTATATTTATCAACAAACGTAATAAGAAAACAAAATCACACGCCGGAAATTAATTATCAAACCCCGGCTGACTCGCTTCATGGATCTCTCTCTCTCTCTCGTGCCCTCGCCCTCTCTCTCTCTCTCTCTCTCTCTCTCTCTCTCTCTCTCTCTAATCCTCATCTCTTGCTTTATTTTTATTTTCTCTGTTTTTGCACATCTGGGCATGACTGAGCATTGCATGTAATGGTAGGGTACCACACTGGTTTTGGAGCACTGTCTTGTGGTATTAAAGTGAGAGAGTTGAGGGAGTAATGAGTTAAAGGAGAGAGAGGGAGGGAGAGAGAGACTGTCTTAAATTTCAGAGAGAGAGGGAGAGAGAGACCAACTGCCTCCTTTCTCTCCTCCCTTTCCCTCGAATGCGGTGATGACTCAGAATTTAAAAGCCCACAAGACTGTCGCTCTTTAAAACCCCCTTCACCATCAGCTACACACATTTTCACAAATAAGTGTGCTCAGCAAAATACACACCCTCATAGTAAGGAATCGTAAGAGTAGTGTGTGTTGTAGTGTTTTGGTGGGGTGTTTTAGGTTTTTTAAGTGAGAGAGAGAGAGAGAGATTAGAGAGACTTAATTAGAGCCCAAGAATTAATCTTTTTTATTTTTATTTTTAAATCTCTCTCCTTGACTCACTCTTCTGAAATCATGCCAAATTCTTTGACATTCCAGCCGTTTCTCTCCTTATGATATGCCTTCGAAAACCAAATGCTTAAACCCCTCTCAACTTCTCCTCAAAACCCAAAAAATAAAAAATCGAACAGTCTTCTATCTTGTACTCTACGGGGATGTTACTGTAGCCATGGTATATTATAGCATGGGCCATCAATCTTGATATATTCTTTCTTTGCTCTATAGGGGACTCGCTAATAGCTTCTTCTTCTCCCTGTTGTTGCTGTTTATATAAAAAGGCTTCTTTTTGGGGAGAAAATGGAGTATGGCAGTGTTGGAGGAGGAAATAGTGGCGGTGGTGGTGGAGACCATGACCCCTCTGATCCTCAAAGGAGGAAGAAGCGTTATCACCGCCACACTGCTCTCCAGATTCAGAAGTTGGAGTCGTAAGGACTCTTTCGCATTGCAATCTCTTTGTTTTCGTCAATCATGCAATCCGTTGATGATTTAGTACTGTTGCTTTTGTGGGGTATATGACATGTGTGTGTGTGTGTAATGTTTCTTGAAGTATTGGTCTTTATGGGTTGTTGATGGTTTTTTTTTTCCTTCTTGTTTTGTGTTTATACTATGTGGGAATGAAGAATGTTTAAGGAGTGTCCACATCCAGATGAGAAACAAAGGTTACAGTTAAGTAGAGAGTTGGGTTTGGCACCAAGACAGATCAAGTTTTGGTTTCAAAACAGGAGGACCCAGATGAAGGTGAATTAGATATTCTTGTTTGTTTGTCTCTTTGTTTTGTTTGATTGAATTTTGTTAGAAGTTATTAAAACGTTTGCTTTGTTGTTGTTGGTTAATGGTTCAGGCTCAACATGAAAGAGCAGATAACTCTGCTCTTAGAGCTGAGAATGATAAGATCCGATGTGAGAATATAGCCATTAGAGAGGCACTCAAGAATGTAATTTGCCCATCTTGTGGGGGGCCTCCTGTTACGGAGGATTCCTATTTTGATGAGCACAAACTAAGAATGGAGAATGTTCAATTGAAAGAAGAGGTGTGCTTCTGTGTTTTAAATTCTCTCTCTCTCTCTCTCTCAAATTTTTTATTTTAATTTTTTCTTGCGCCATTCATGAAATGGTTTGCAAAATTTTGATTGTTGCAGCTTGATAGAGTTTCTAGCATTGCTGCTAAATACGTAGGGAGGCCAATTTCCCAACTCCCTCCAGTGCAACCTTTTCACTTTTCTTCCTTGGATTTATCAATGGGGAATTTTGGGGGCCAAGGGATTGGTGGCCCTTCACTTGATCTTGATCTTATCCCAACTAGTTCAAATTTGGCTTTCCAACCTCCAGTCATTTCGGATATGGACAAGTCCCTTATGACTGATGTTGCTGCAAATGCTATGGAGGAATTGTTAAGGCTTTTGCAAACCAACGAACCTTTGTGGATGAAATCGTCCGCTGATGGGAGAGATGTTCTTAATCTCGATACCTACCAGAGGATCTTTCCAAGGGCTATGAGCCACTTAAAGAATCCCAATGTTCGAATAGAAGCATCCCGAGATTCAGGTGTTGTTATCATGAATGGTGTGGCCTTGGTTGACATGTTTATGGATTCAGTAAGTCCTTTTCTTACTCTCTAATAATATATATTTTTCTGACACCCAAAATATCTTAATTATTAAGGCTGTCTCTGAGTTGTATCACTGATTTGAGCTCGCAGAACAAGTGGGTCGAATCATTTCCCACGATGGTGTCTGTGGCAAAGACCATTGAAGTAATTTCATCTGGAATGTTGGGTAGTCACAGTGGTTCTTTGCAACTGGTAATGAAAAAAGCTTTAAGTTGCTTGCTTTTGTTTCAACAACTGGCTCGAAGAATGGTTTATCATATGAAATGTGCTTTTTTGCAGATGTATGAAGAGTTGCAGGTGCTTTCACCCCTGGTTCCGACTCGGGAATTCTGTATCCTTCGGTATTGTCAGCAAATTGAGCAAGGCTTATGGGCAATTGTTAGTGTTTCATATGATATTCCACAGTTTGCCTCCCAATTTCGATGTCATAGGCTTCCTTCTGGATGCTTGATTCAGGATATGCCAAATGGATACTCAAAGGTTGTCTAGTTGCTCCTGAGAACTTCATTATATGTTATTACTATGGTGTTTCAACTTCAAAACAGTGATAGTTGTAGAACTCATTCGTGTACTTAGTTACTAACCTGAAGTGTGAAACAGGTTACTTGGGTGGAACATGTAGAGATCGAAGACAAAACCACAACTCATCAGCTTTATAGGGATCTCATTCACAGTGGTATGGCTTTTGGAGCTGAACGATGGCTTGCTACACTTCAAAGGATGTGCGAAAGAGTGGCATGTCAAATGGTGTCAAGCAATTCGACCCGGGATCTTGGAGGAGGTAAATTTATTGCCATGGTCAAATCTTTTTAGTTAATCATGATTTTAACTGTGTATTTCATCTTCCAGTAATTCCCTCACCAGAAGGTAAGAGAAGCATGATGAAACTTGCCCAACGAATGGTCAGCAGTTTCTGTTCTAGCATAAGCACATCTAACAGCCACCGATGGAGCACACTATCTGGGTTGCATGATGTTGGAGTTCGAGTTACACTCCATAAGAGCACGGATCCTGGCCAACCTAATGGTGTAGTTCTAAGTGCAGCTACCACGTTTTCACTTCCAGTTTCTCCTCAAAATGTCTTCAGTTTCTTCAAGGATGAAAGAACCCGACCACAGGTGATGTAGATTTTGAAATTGGCGGTGGAATGATTCATGGCATGTTCAATTGCTTGTAAAATGTTTTCCTTTGATAAACTTCTTGCTGATATTTTGGCTTTGGTTTTGGTACTTTTTTTTTCTTTAGTGGGATGTACTCTCTAGCGGCAATGCAGTCCAAGAAGTTGCCCATATCACAAATGGTTCACATCCCGGGAACTGCATATCTGTTCTTCGAGTAAGGCTATCTCTGTTTGGCTCCTTCTCTAACTTTTATAGTGAATTGTTTCACTGTATAAAGTAAAATGCTTATTTAATGACTTTCATAACTCTATAATATTCTGTAATAGGCCTACAACACTAGTCAGAACAATATGTTAATACTGCAAGAGAGCTGTGTCGACTCATCAGGTTCACTTGTAGTCTATTGTCCCGTCGATCTACCAGCCATCAACATAGCAATGAGCGGTGAGGACCCTTCCTATATACCTCTGCTGCCATCAGGATTCACCATTTCTCCTGATGGCCGTCCTGACCAAGGAGATGGTGCATCAACAAGCTCTAATACACAAGGAAGCACGGCCAGGTTGAGCGGTTCCCTAATTACAGTAGCATTTCAAATACTAGTCAGCAGCTTGCCATCTGCTAAACTAAACCTGGAGTCAGTGAATACTGTTAATAACCTTATTGGCACCACTGTCCAGCAAATTAAGGCTGCCATGAATTGTCCTAGTTCCTGATCACCAGATTCTGCTACTGCAAACTTAACTGTTCCCCTTTCTCTCTACCATCTTTGAATATTGAGATCAGAGAAAATTAAAGTGTTGTTTTTGCTGGTCGTATTCACTGTGGGAGAGAAGTATTGGGGTTGGTTGGGACTTTGAATGCTATCTTCAAGAACCAAAGATGCTTATTTACTGCTGCTGCTGCTGCTGCCGGTGGTGGTGGTGCCTGTTTTTGCTGCCACAATTCATTACAATCTACACCAACTAAATTTTATTTATTATTTTTACGAGCCTCCTTTTTGGATTTTGCAAAAATTCTCGTTGGAAGAGTAGCCATTTAAAGAGGGAGTCAAGAACGCACCATACATGTTTTTCTTGCCTAGAAGGGGTAGTAATAAATCTGCCATCCATCCCTTCCCTTCATTACCACGCGAACTCAGCAAGAAAAAAAAAAATTTGTGGTTCGGGTATTGACTTCTGTTCATGGACATTCAATCTAATTTATCTACCAATGATGTTCTATCTCTGTTTTTTTATTTATTATTATTATTTTTATTTTTTGGCCGTGTAATAAAATCTCTTGAATGGGGTGTCTGTTTATGTGGTTTGCATGATTGTGTGTGAATGGAGAGAACCATGAGGCAGTGGGGCAGGCATGGAAATAGCTTTTGATAGCTATTTTGCTTGACATCAATGTTGGGCTCCACCTCATTCATGATCATTCCACGTAAGTCTCTGAATTTCAAAAGATTATTTTTAACTGCATTTGCCTTGACATTTTCTGATGGAGAGGATTTCCATTATATTGATATGACCACTCCTCAGTGGGTCATTTGTTCCTTTTCTATTATTGGAGGCCCCACCCTTTCCCCCCCTGTGAAGTCTATATGAATTTTTGTCTGTTTACATCATTATTATAGTTATTTTTAAAAATATTTTTTATTTTTAAAAATATATTAAAATAATATTTTTTTTATGTTTTAAAAATTATATTTAATATTAACATATTAAAATAATTTAAAACTAATATAAACATATTAATTTAAAATAAAAAAAAACTTTTAAATGCTTTTAAATACTTTTTTGAAATACAAAAATAAATAATATATTTTTAATTTAGTCGTTAATTTTTTAAAATCACATTTTGCCTCTTCAAGAGCATGCTAAAAGTATGTTAATAATAAAAAAATAATAATTGAAGGTTAATAATAAAAATAAAAAACAAAAAATAAATATTGGGTTAGCTTGAATCTTATAATAACATTTTCAAAAACCCATTTAAAATATTCAAATTGATACTCTTTTAAGTGTGTGTGTGTATAGTTCAAAATCGTTGGATCTTTATAAATGTGACCCCCCTTCTCAATTCTACGAGATTTAGCCTAGTTTGTATATTTTGTTTCCGTTTAAGAATCACTAATTTGACTGTAGCTATAATGACTTTTAAGTTTTTGGTAATACTTTAAAAGCTAATATCATAATCTTTTCCATTTGCTATTTTCAGAAATTATAATATATAGTTTTTTATAAGTCATGACGACAATTAACAGCTATGATCTTTCTAAATGCCCTCTTGTTGATTCACATCTTAAAGAAGACTACACGAAAATAATTTATTGTGAATGCATATGATATGCTATATATTTAATTAAGAATTTGTGAAAACTTATTTTTTTCAATTCTACACGCTATATCAACAACTAGTACTTAGAATTTATAGCGCTATTTAGCATAGAAGAGGATTTAGAATTTAGAATTTAAAAAATAAATAATTATTATCTTTTATCATATAGTCTAAAATCTATAAAACTCTCAATGAAATAATACAAATAATAATAATAATAAAAAAACTAATTAATAAATTTGACCCATGTGGGTTATCTTGCTCAAGAGATATTAAGCAGCAACATGAGATAAATAAAAATAATTGGCTCCTTTGACCAAAATTGAGTTCAACTCGAAAACATAATTCAATGGAGAAATTAGGCTCGTGCAAATAGATTTTATATATAGCAATTAATTTACTTGTAAAATATGCCACGCCTATTATTTTTGTATCATATCATAAAGACTAAATCGCTTTGGATTCCAGTTTCTCCCAATCATTTTTGTCACGTTACCATATAATTCATATCATAAGGCACTCCTACTCCTTGTGATAATTATCTCATGTGAGGTAAACTTGAGATGTAGTTTAAGTGTTTAAGGTTTTTATTATTTTTTAATAATTATAAGAGTTTGAGTTATGTTTATTGAATTCTTTTATAGTTACCGCAAATTATTTATATAATCATTAATTTTAAAATTTATAAAATTAATTAAAACATATACAAATTAGTTTGGATATTCATATTAATAATATATATATATATACACACACATGATACAAGCTACAAAAATTAATAACTCAAACCCTCGTGTGATAGGCATGGCTGTTGAAGAATGTTATAAATTCCATTAAAAAAAAACCATTAATGCTTTGTGAATGTTTGATGATCTTACGGGTTCCTACCATGCCGACGAATTTAATTTTCTTGACAAGTTCTCGACCATTTTCAATGTACGGGGGGGGTTTTGGATGGCAAACCTTTCTCTGTTAACATCCCTCTCGTGCCCATATGCCAAAAAGAGGTCCAAAGCATACAAACTAGGGTTTACCTTGTTCTTTAACTCCAAAACGAGGTTCTGGCCTCGCGGTGGAAGGGGCTTGTCCCCTTTCTCCGCATCTGGATTCGAATCTTACTATGCATGCCTGTCACTCTCGCGGTGCCTTACCTGCTCACTAGGTTTGCAGGATGTTCAGTGGGCCGTGGGGATTAGTCGTGATGCGCGTAAGCTGGCCCGGACATCCCACGTAAATCAAAAAAAAAAAACAAAAAAAAAAAGAATGTGTATTGTTTTAAATGGAATGTTTAAAATTTTCTATGTTTTTCATTTATGTGTGTGGTCATTAAGAAAAATATTATATTAATTATTAATTTAATACTAAATATTTGCATATAAAAAGTATTGAGTTTCTCAAGTTTCAGCAAGGATTTATTGCGATTTTAAAAAGTAAGTTCGAGGAATGAGAAACTTGATTTCTAAGTTCCTTCAATAAGTTTTGGATAAGGGGTGCATATTTACATCAAATTAAACATGTTTATAAGAGTATTTTAAGCTTTAATATAACATAGTATAATGGAGATTATCTTAAATATAGATATATAATAGTTTATTAGTCAGTGCTATCTTATGGATGAAATAAATAAAAAAACAATTTGAGCTTAACAACAATATACCAAGCATAAAGATGAAATTGTTATTAAATTCAATTTAGAAGGTTCTTTCTAAAACTTTTCAATTCAACCTTGTATAACTTGAGTTTAAAATTAAATAGAATGAGGTTATGTAATTGACTTAATTGATTTATTGACAACCTAGTTGACTAGTAAAAAGTAAAATTGAAAATAAAAATAAAAAAAAATAATGAAATTAACAATAAAAAAACTCGTCATCAATTATAAAATTAAAAAAAAAAAAAACCTCATAACCATATTCCTTATATAGTCTTAATTTAAAATTAAATTTTGTAAAAATTATCTTGAAATGATTCAGTCAATTTAATTGATTCAAAAATAATTTAAATAATTATTAAAATAAAATAAAATATTATTTTTTTAAAAAAATAGCTGAATTGAAAAGAAAAAAAAAAAGGAGCTTCACTGTGATATATATGATCGGAAGCTCCAAGTTTTTTTTTCAAATTCTATTAAATAAAAGCTCTGAAAAACAATGTTTTAATTTGAATTTTTTTTTATAACACATGTAGCCCTTTAATCAACCTATTTATAATATATGTAGCTTTCATTTGGCTTAAAGGATAAGGTTGGTTTTTATTTTTATTTTTATTTTTAAGGCTTTCGGTTATAGCCCAGCTAAATTCAAAGTATATATTTAAAAAAATAATTTTTTTATATATTTTAATATATTAATTTTAAAAATAATTTTTAAAATTAAAAAATATAATTTAATATAATTTTTTTAATAAATAATTATAATTACACTTGAAACAGCCTTGGATAGGCTGTAACTGTACTTACCTTAATTGTCACGTAATGAAAATGAAAATGGAGACACCATGCTCGAAGGATTTGGAAGTGACTGCTGAGAAGAGCATTATTGGCTAATGGGTGGCTTTGATTGATTGGTGGGTGACATAAAATAAAAAGAAGACAATTTAACAGAGCTGGTGGTCCCTATAAGTGATGGACTAGTCGACTGAAGGGTACCTGAAAGTGATATCCTCCAATGCCGCAGACTCTTTACAGATATTGTCCCCTGGAGGGGTTGTATTGGAGTGAGAGCTGGCTCCTTACAGATGTTGAATAGTTAAAATTAAAATTTTAAAAATAAAAAATATTTTAAAAAATAACATCTTTTTAATTCTTAAACGGGGTGCAACCGAGTTGTCAAGCTAATTAAAAAAAACTTAAAACATCCATGTTTGTTTTGAACTAGGTTTTTAATTTATTTGAATAAAATATTGATTTAATAAAAATCAATTAGATTTTTAGTAATTCAAATATAATTCAAATCTTTTAAGATAATATTAATAACTTTTTAAAATAAAATAATTGACATATTGTATAAGTTAACTTAATAACTTTTTTTATTTTTTAGATTAGTAATTAATTTAAGTTGGACCGGGTTTTACAATTTTTTTTTTCAATCAAATAAAATGAAATGTAATTAACAATTCTAATTCCATTTTTTTTTTGACCAACTAAATAACTTTATAGATATGATGATAAAATCGGATCTACAATAATAAAAGATTTTAAACAGTTAGAAATGAATATATCATAACTAGATAATGATTTACCGAGACGTATTATATGGATGACTTAGTTGGTGCATTTATGGATATCAGAACAAGTTTATATTCAAGATGAAATCTAATCATGTCAAGTCATAATAATGACTCAAAAAGGTTATAATATTTTATTTACCTATTGAATCACACTCAAATTTAACTAGAGTTTTTGGATGTCGTTTTTTTTATAGCAACCTTTACATCACTACGTGAACTATCAAATCTTTAGATATCCAAAATCTTGTCAAAACTTTTGGTGTTGATAATTTTGTTATTTTCTTGTTATTTTCAAATTTCATGATTTTTTTTGGATTTTATGCTTCTTTTCTTTGTATTTTCATATTTTTACTTTGTTTCTCAATTGAGATAATATTTCTAGTCTATTTAAGGTTTTGTAAACCTTCAAAAGAGGTAATTTTATTATTATTTTTTTAGAGAGAATAAAGTAATGAATTTTGATATTCATATCTATAACTCCACATGAAAATTCCTTTTGTTTTCAAAGAAGAACAAAAAATGACTATAAATAGCTTATGTGTTGACGTGGAATTAAAACAAAATGACAAGCGTAAAAAAACATATAATTTATTATATAAACTTTTTTTTCTATTAAACTTTTAAAAAACAACGTACACCTTCCTTAATTAGTATTGAATCTTCCTTAATTAGTATTGGATCTTCAATTCTGAGCATGTCTGGTGACGACTTTGATAATTCACAAAATTAATAAAGGTTTGA